TGTGGTAGTGATTAATGTGGTTGGGGTAGTGGTCTGTGTGGTGGTGGTTGTCTGTGCTGTAGTAGCTGAGGTGGTGGGAGTGGTCTCAGTTCTGGTGGTTGTCTGTGTTGTCGTTGATTCAGTGAGGGTAGAGTTCTCTGTTGTGGTTCTCTGTGTTGTGGTGTGTGTCGTCCTACTAGTGGTCTCTGTGGTCGAAGTAGTCTGTGCTGTGGTGGGTGTGGTCATAGGAGTAGTGTTTGTTGTGGTGGTTGATGTGGACGTCAGTGTGGTGTCTGTGGTTGTCGTTGTGTTGATCGTGGGAGTGGTTTGCGTTGTAGCAGTTGATGTGGTCATGGTTGTGGTGTCCGTGTTTGTAGTTGTCTCTGCTGTAGTGGATGTGGTTGTGGGAACGGCCTCTGTTGTTTTCTGTGTTGTGGTGGTTGTGGTTGTGGGAGTGGTCTCTGTGTTTGTCGTCTTTGTTGTATATGTGGTGGTGGGAGTGCTGTCTGTGGTGGTGGTGGCTCCAGTTGTGGTGCTGACTGTGGTTGATTTTGTTGTTGTCATTGGCTTGGAAGTGGTAAAGTAAGTACCAGTGGTCCCTGTGTTAGTAGTGGTGGTATAGGCACTGGTTGTCGTCACTGGTGTCTCAGTCATGCAGATAGTGGTGGGGTACGTGGTGGTGACCTTCAGTGTTGTTGGGTTTATGCACTCTGTGGTGCTCATCACTGTAATGACAGTGGATGGTGAGGTCCCAACCTTGAAGACATATTTGATTGGAGGGATTGTTGAGGTGCTGGATTTGATCATGGGCTTTAGCATTGGGTCCAGTGAGGGAGAAAAGGTGGGGAAGACACTTTCTGCAGCAGAAGGGTTTTGGGGCACCCTGACTGGCCTCTCTGCTGTGCCAGTGTCATGTGGGGTGCTGCTGAGAGCCTTGTCTGCTCTGGGGAGAAGCTCCATGGAGAGAGAAGTGCCCATGGAGAAAGCTCCTGTATTGGCGGCAGAAGAGAAGAATACAAGGTGAACTTGTCTTTTGCTTTGTCACACCACCTGGTAGGTATTTGCCCACGTTCAGAACCCCAATGGTAGAACATGCCCTTGCTTATTCCCCTCCACAGGCATTTTGGGGCTGTGGTCCCTCAGGTTGAGGGCCAATGTGACAGCTCCCTGGCAGGGGTGTCAAGGAGAGTGCGCTGCAGCACCCCCTTTCAAGTGACTGGCCCCCAGCCCAGAGTCAGTGAGGCCCCTGCCTCCTCCCTCGGCAGCCCCCTTCCTCCACACACCTGTTTCCCTTATTGTCTCCTGCCCCTGCTCAACGTCCATCTCTCTGCCTGGAGCCTCTCCCTGCCCTCCTCTCTGACCTTCTGCCTTTTGGTCTGACTCAACTCCCGAGGAGGGCAGAGGTTAAGAGAGACCAAAAGAGAATGGCCACAGCCAAGGCCATAGGCCCGGGACATGAGTGACGCAGAGTCAGAGAGAGACAGCTGTGCGGAGAACAGCAAAAGGAGAGAGAGAATGAAACTCAGATTCTGTCGAGGACAAGGACAGAGGGCCACGCTGAGAGGCCGAGGGATAATACTGGACAAGGAAACCACCAGAAAGAGATAGCTAGAGGCGGCGAGAGTGCAGAGCCAGCGGGTCTAGCAGTGAGCGTTAATACTAAAAGTGTTCTCATTTTCCACCACCTCTTCTACCTCGGCCACATGGCCACATTAGCAAACAAACACGAACCCTTCAGTCTGTAGACACCATCCGCCCCATTTTACAGACGGAAAAGTGAGGGCTGGAGCTCCCCTAAAGCCAAATGCCGGGGAAGGCCCCGGAGTGGCTGAGGCCAGCGGGGACAAGCAGGACGAGCTTGCTCTCCGCCACTCAGAGGCGCTGTCCTCTTCCTCACCTCTGCTAGGCTCTCTGCTTTGAAGGCTGTTTTGCTTTTCATCCCAGGGGGAGTGTCAAGGAGGCAGGTGGAGGGGGGCTGTCCCTGGGGGTCAATGAGGGTGGATCATGGGCCTCTGGGTCGGGGTGGCCCAGGGTGGGGTAAGCAGACACGGGGGCCAAAGCGCAGAGGAATCGTGCGGGTGCTAAGGAGCAGGCAAAGGCCTAGGGCTCCGCACTGGGTGGTCTCACACCCATCCTTTGGTCCAGGTGGCCCCTTGGACCTTCCCACCCTGGCTATGCCAGCAGTGGCTGTGCCTGAATATGCGAACTGGCTTGGGGCTCCAAGAGTTAGGGGCGGAGCTGGGAAATGGGACACCAGGAACCACTGGCAGCTGTGCCCCAGAGAGAGGAGGCCACTCCAGGGCACTCTCCCACAGCATGGAAGGGAGGGAGAGGAGGACCAGGGCCCCAGCTGGAGGAGCACCAGGGACAGGGAAGTGAGGGTCAGTGGAAAAGGCCGAGGGGCTCAGAAAAGGAGTCAGAGAGGAAAGAGCGGTCTTGCAGAAAGCGTATTCACTCCCCTGATGCGAGCACCGGCAACCTTCAGTCTTAGCGGATAACTGCACCACTGACGCCACTCCCCTCTCCTCCGTCCCTGCCTCAGTTCTCCCTGCACAAAGCTCTGAGGCATCATCTCCTCTGCCTCCTCTTAGGCGTCAGAACCGGCCGTCCATGGTCATCAGGAGGATCTGTCCATTTCCCCCCTCACTTTACCCCCTCACCTGTGGTCCCAGGGGAAGCGCTGAGGATCCAGAGGAGGCTGAGGAGCCCAAGCAGCTGCATGGACCTTGTAGGCAGGGCCGGCACTATGCCGGGACAGCAGGACGGGCCCGGGCGGCAGCGCGTGCACTGGGCAGCAGCTCTGATGGACTGATGTGTTCATCTGGCTCTCGGGAAGGCACAGCCTCACCTTTGGACCACCCCGCCTAGCGCCACTTCTCACTTCCTCATGCCATACTCAGGGTTGTATGAAGTGAAACAGCAAATACTCCAATCCAGGTAGGAAAGCTGCCCAGTCTACCCTGCCCACAGAGAGGAAATGGCCTTTCCGCTCTCCCTGCTCCCTCTACAACTAGTAAAATGAGTGGAGAATACACTCCTCAGGACCTTGGACTCTTGGACCTGGGCCCTCTTCTCCTTAGTTTCAGCTAAGAAGGTGCAAACTCTGTCATAACCAAAGCAGCAGGAGCAGTGCAAATTCAATCTGAACTCATATTTATGTGAAGTTGTGGGTCAGAGGAGGAAATATAGGTGGCCATTGGGAACAGTCAAAATATAATAAAAAAAGATGTAAAAATAAACTTTAAAAAATATATATATATAATAATAATAAAAAAAACGTTTCAGCCCTCCCAGGTGGCGCAGCGGGTTAAAGCACAGCACTGAGAAGCTAAAGTCGCTTCCGCATGAGTTCGATCCCCGCCTGCCCCGGAAGTGACCCACATGGCGTGGCAGACCTCTCCTGACCCGCCCGCTGCTCCCCTCAGCAGTGTACTTCGTCGATCTGCCTGTTCTGCTCCCTGCTCTGTCTCTGGTCAAGCCTATCGCCGCCCCTAAGCCTCTGGCCTGTACTCCAGTTCTGTATGCATAAATAAATAAATCTTTTTTAAAAAAGTTTCTATGTACTAGTTATGAACAGAAAATTAACTAAGTCGAAAAACAGTAACACTACAATGGCATTAAAAATATAAATTGCTTAGGGACAAATCTGATAAAAACCTGTGTTCCAAAAATCACATTTAAGAGAAATTTAAAACCTAACCAAATTCAGATAACAAAACTTTCTCATCAGTTGGAAGGTTTAATATTGTTAAAACAACAATTCTTTCCAAGTGATTTGTACGTTTGGCCCAGCAGATTGCCAGGTGTCATGGGTGCTACCCAGTGTTGGGGAAGTGGAGAAGAATAAGCACTCTTTCCCCGCTGGTGGAAAGGAGAGTTGGACCCCTCTAAAACGGCAATTTGGTGACATCTAGTAAAATTCTAAGTGCAGATCAAAAAGATAGACTTGCCTTTTGAATCAACATGGATGGAAATAAGCCAGAAAGAAAAGGAAAAATACCGATTGTTTCACTCATAGCACGAGCATAAAGGACCAAGGGAGAAAATAATAACAATAATGAACAACTATATACCAGAGACATTTTACAGGAATAGAGTGGGGAATGGGATCAAAAAGGGCAGTGGGGGGGAGTGTTCTGGACTTTGGTGATGGCATACGGGTGATTTGGTGATGGGAAACCCACGGGGATGACAACTGAGATGGAAAAGGCACGAAATTATGTAAAAATAAACAATTATATTTTTAAAAAATTATATCATGCTGAAAAGGCACTCCTAATAACAAAAGAAAAAAGAAAAAAAATTCTAAATACAGACTCCAGGATCCAGTATTCCACTGTTCCATCTCTGTGTTCAAGAAGCACTCAGAGGAGGCATTCACGGGATGGTCATTGCCAAACCAACACAAATTGGAGACACCCAGATAGCCCTCAATAGCAAAACAGTAACCTGGAACAGTCACTCTACAGACTCAGTGCTAGAATCAAAAAAAGGTCACTATTGTGGAGAGATCCTCAGAATGTCTTCTCAGTGATACAGTTTTATTAAAACACACACACACACACACCCTGTAACACACACATACATGTGAGTGAATTAAAATTTGGAAAGAGGGTAACCTACCCCAGTAACAGAAGGAGGGCCCGACTTTGAAGGAACTGAATTTGGGAATGACATAAAACTAGCTCTATTCTTAGTTTTTAATTTAACAAAGATTCTACCCTTGGTGAGACTCAACCCGATTCCTCTGAGTACTCTTTCTTTTTCAGGCCTAGAAGAACTGGGATGTAGGCCAGAGATGCAAGGGTCACAGGATTCACCAGAGCAGCATGGGGAGAACAGGACAGGTGCTGTTTTACTGAATTACACTGTTGGGGATAGCAGAGGGTGGGACAGGAGAGGTCTGCTGTACGATGTAGGTCCTGGCAGGGTGTTGAACTCAGGCCGGAGAGGTGATAGCACTGAGATTTAACCCCTAGGCCAAAAGGCAAGCCCTGACCTTTCTTCCTGACTAGGACATAACGTTGATCCTTAAAGACTTGAACAATCACTAACGTTGTTTCTAGCACTTCCGTGATAACACTAGATCCCATGATGTGCCTGCATGAGAACACTGAAAAGAGCCAGAAATAACTGTTCCATTCAAACCTGAACATAGAACCCCTGTCTTCAGCCCCTGTGGAAGGACAGAAGCCTAATTCTGATGAGTCGGCTAGCGAACCCAGGTGGGCTCACTGCTTCCTCTGCTGGAGGTTGGCCCAGAGCCAGCAGGGCAGGTGCAGCTCCCAGGAAGGAGCCGGTGGGGGCAGGGCCATTCTTGGGATCCGACACCAATTCCTTACATATTTGATGTCTTCGTGCAGCACTAAAATATTGGTCTCCCGTGGCTTTCTTGTTTTCCCAAGGTGACTCTCCGGGACTGGGCTGGCCAGGATGCAGGATGCCAGTTGCTGTGCAGGGGACGCCGATGTGACTGGGCCTGTTGTAGGGAGCACCAGGCTCCCGGGGAAATGGATCCCCCATCCAGCTTCAGGCTCCCCGATTCCTCCTTACCTCCCACCTCCACTTTTCATCTCCCTCCACTGTCCAAACATCCTTCTGCTCCAAGACCATGCCTCCTTGACCCAGACTTTTCTACCTCCAGGACTTTGCCCTACCTGTTTCATTCAAGAATGTGCTCTCGCTTGCCCTCCCTCTCGCTCTCTCTCTCTCTCTTTGCTCTT